CCGTCCAGCATCGTCTGTTAGTAACGATTTCGATCAGGAACCCCCTCTCCATCTTTTCCAATGTCCCGACCTCTCCTAAGCTTTATGCAATGGCCACAAACCTCATTGTCCACTAGAGACTGGTCTTTACTGACGAGCAATGTTTTCGTAGTAACTAATGACGTTACTGTTGATACCATGGCTGCGGGATCGTTGGTTTCATTGCTATTGCAGGTAGCACTGCCTGCGCAGATCGTCAGCTACGCAGTATCGACTGAAGTAAGGTACCCATTTGCATGCATGGTCGCCATTCTTACGTTGGTCATGATAAAGAGAAGTTTCTTGCGTTTTAGTCGTTGTTGTGCGCGTTTGTCACTACGATTTGCCCGCAGCCCTTCGCGCCAGTCTCCCCCCAACCTCACTATCACACCCGGTCCGGCTTTCGCGGCTCCGTCGGTAACTGCGAGAAACCCCCTTGGCCGGCTTCGCCTTTGAACCATCGACGCACGATGCGGCTGTGCGCGATGTTATTGTTTTTCATTGTTGTTGCTATTATTGTTGAAGTGAGGCCATCTTTTTTCGCTTCATTTTTGTGACTGTCGTTTGGCTTCGTTAGGTTCTCCCACTAGTCGACGATGGTTCGTTCACTCATCGTCGAGATGACGCTTGATGCCGCTGACAAAGCGAAGGCAATTACGGCTGCAGTGGCAGCGACTGCTGTATTGGTTTTACCTTCATTATTAGCCTTCGGCCACGAACATGTAACGGTGGCTTGCATTACGATGACAAGCTGCTGTGACCAAACGGTGAAGGCTGTGACTACCGGACCGGATGCGGTTAGACGCGCTTAATCGTAGATATGCCGAATTGGAAGGAACAGTAACTAAGAGTGACGACAACAATCGCCAAAACGCGCGCCCAAAGCGGCGCCCTATGTAGCAGCTGTCACTGCTTTCCTTGGACGTCGGCTTACCACAGCGTCGCGCCAGTATCTTGGTTTACAGGCCGTTGTCTGTCTGTTGTCGCGCCGATAGGTCGCGCAAGCCATAAAGTCACCGCACGACTAATGCTGTTTTCTGCTGCAGTGCGGACCAATGTTCCGGGATCACCGGAGGTCCTTAGGGCGCTAGCGCCGGCTCCACGTGGTAATGGCATGGCTACACAGCATTGGTAAAGCTAGCCAATAATGACGGCAACAACAGCAGCTTTACCTAACGGCCCGTACAACTTGGTTTTCGTTCACAATTCTGTTTCTTTGCTTCTTCTTCCTTTTTTCATCTTCTTCGACTGCAGCGACAGACACGCGGACAGGCAAATCGACACGGGCGCTCACACACGCGCTTAGTCACCAGCGCCCATAGAAACACACACACACATACACAGATACGCAACGAATGAAGATAAGCACCATTACGACAAATACAACAGCTGGCGGCATTGATGTCATTCGAAGACAGTTAGCACTTACCAACATAGAGGCTTACACATAAGCACACAAATCGAAAGTGAAGTAACGTCTGGCTAGTGAAGCCGCACCGAGATTAGGCCTCGTCTTGATGATTGACGGCACAATGTATTGTCGCCAAAGAGTCCCAAAGCGCGATTGATCGTACGTGCCAAATAGTGGACTGTGGCTCACCATGCGCAACATGAACATGTGTTGCCAATAAACACCCCTGCCTGTAATGTCGCCCTTTATAATTAACTGCTTAGTAATCGTAGATAATTGAATGAGCGAACAATATGAACTCATGCAAACAAAGTTATTAGACGAGATTTACTATTCTAGTCTCGTGTGTTGAAAATGCCTTTTACATTACCATGGTTTCCATTGCCGATAGGTTTCGTTCAATGATAAGGGACTTTCAATGATTATTTGATAGAGAGGTCGTACGACAGAGAATCTGTGTGCGTCACTTCTCCGTTTTTCAATAGACAGTTTCGCTCACACGAACCGCTTCGACTAATCGGTGGCAAGAGTCACTGTGGAATCATGGGCTTTATTGTGATTTTCGGCTGCTTCAGGATTCCCAGCCTTTGCTAAAGGACATCCAATGGCTGTGGTAGTACCATCAAATTGAAATGATTGTATACAGCATCATCGGCGGTCACGGACAATTCAATCAGATCTGACCCCGCTTTAATTCCGGCAGCCTTGACTTGACACATAATACAAATAACGAATTAGTTAATTATTAGGTTAGTTAGTATATACAAAGTATGAGACCCGAAGTCGGTTTCAATCACAATAGTGTATCTAGTTATTATGGGTATTACGGCTAACAGCATCTCTCTTACAGTGGGGTCTGCTTTTGATTTCGTTCTGTTTGACGATGGCCTACGCTATTGTACAGTGTCCCGGGAATACGCTGGCATGAATCGGCCCAGCCATCTTGAACTACGAACCTCGCTAAGACGAAGGCCAACGTTAAATCAAGGGAAGGAATCCTATCTAGTGCAGGTGCCTGTTTGCGAACGGAATTAGATTATAAACTTTTTTTTTTTATGACATAATTAAGTAGGATCGGTGACAGGTGTCAAAGAAACACCAACAACTGATTAACGTTTTTAGGTATTCTTTTTTTTTTTTTTTTTTTTATTTTTTTTATACATGTATATGACGTTGGATCTTTTTGTTGAATTATGCATCATCGAAAACCTGAGATGAGGTCCCACATTTGTAATAATATAATAACCTGTAATAGACATCTTATTAACTTAACGTTGTGTTTAGGCAGTTAAGGTTTTGAGGGTTGGTACTCAATGTCACTGGAAATACTGCTCAGCCACAACTGAAACTCGAAAGCATCACAACGGACATTTTCTCTATTATATATGTGTGCTAATCCAGTTTTGCCTAGGAGAACAATCTACACAATCCATGAAGTTTTTACGTGAGAACGAGCGTCCTTCGGAAACTTTTGAAGTATTTTTATGATCTATTTAATTCGTAGATATTTTACCTTTATATACGGTAACACTCCGAGTGGTGAAGTCCGATGAAAGAGAAAGCTTTGAATGACATAGTAACAAGGTATCCATTAACAAGAGCTAATTTATATGGGCCAACTTGCTTGTCTGTAATATAGTCACAACGACTATATTAAAGTTAATATAAATATGCATTAAGATTCTTACTGGGTGTCTGTATCGTACCAGCCATGATGGACTACGCTCTGTGAGTGCTAGGAAAGCGTTGTACCACGAGCGAGCTAAAATATGTGAACAGCATGACCTGAAAGATTTGCACCAACTTTGTATTATACGAAGAACCTTTTTACCGGCTTTTCAGTCTAAACAATGGAAGATTATATACATGTATTTCCTCATTGGGTTGACAATTTGTTTTGGTGCTGTGCGCTAAAAAGCAGAACAGCTCGTTTCGTGTCTACAGCCCGTCCCCCTCCCACCCCATATGTCGTCTCTATGTCGATGTAACACGTATTAAGTATACCCGTTGATTATTCGGTGATATCTGTCGATGTTGGCTGGACGACTCAAATCATATTCAATGACGATATGTTAGCGGACACGCGTCAAAACTTGGTCCGTCGTCTGTCTTCAATTTGTTTTTCGACTCATTTTTCAACTGGGTCAACGAACAATTTCCTCCCCCCAGCCCTCCAGTCCGGCCACGCATCCGGGTAGGTGAACGGTAACAATCTCTCAGCAATACAGCGACCCCTCACAGTGGATGGACCGTAAACATCCTGACCAGTCCGGACCACACCACGCTGCATGGTGCCCTACACCACTCCCGTTTTTGTAATCTCTTTTTTCTTTGAGAAGAAGCGCCGTCTTAGCTCGAGACCTGCTTGTACGCCTTTCGCAGCGTCTACCGGCGAGCTCAGCCGGTATAGTCTCGTTGCTCGCAACCGTTAAGTTGCAAACTGACAAATGTGTGTTTCGGAAGCAGTAACCCGAAAAATGATAGCGCCGGTGGTACCCGAAACTGCCGTTAACCCGTTAAAAGCAGTAGCAGGCGTGCGAGCATCGAGATGGGACGCCGTTATTGCCATCGTGATTGTTAATATCAAGCGTACTACCGCAAGAACAGTGGGTGCGTGAAATCTATATGGTGACACGGTGCCACACAACGAGCTAAAAGCCCCGTACAGGTCGATGCGGTGCGGTGACACACGCTAGAAGCAACGGATAGAAGACGTGGATTAGTTATCTTCCGCTTGTAGAATTTCCAGCGTGCCGCGACCCTATGCGTGCGCTTGTTATGCCTATCCACGCCTGATATGTCCAGATACTGCAGGAACGGCACCTCACCATTAAGAGAAAAAAAGGAAAGGGGCGTCTTTGTCTTATACCTATTATTGTCTCCATTGATGTCACAGCTGTTGCTTATACTGGCGGCCGATGTTTTCGAATGACATTTTTCGCCCGGTGACCTTTTACGTGTTCCATGGCCCTCAATTGGTGAAGAAAGCAGGGCAACATATGGAGGGCTATAGAATCATAGGACAAGTGCGCTGACATGTTCGTTGTCAGCGCAATTATGGTTTTGATTCTATTTAGTCGCCGTTTTCGCTGTGTTGTCTTATTCCCTCAGGGGTATGGCACAAGGCAGAGGTTAGGTCGGCATCATTGACAGAGTGAGTGCCCGTTTATCCTATTCACGATTTTGAATTTCGACTGAGGCCATTCGACCATTCCACTAAGGCCTAACAAAGGGCTGAGAGATATTGGGACTACCTAACAAAGGCAACGAAAGGAACGCTAGTCACTCGTCTGCTTACTTCAACTGATAAAAATTGACCTCAAGATATCGCATAATTATTTTTTGATGAAAAGATTTACCTCAGATTAACATCTACCATGCAGAAAGTATGACTGATAATTTACTCGCTACGAAAAATGCCCGCTTAAGAGCATGATTTGCGCTTATGATCCTGTCTGCGTTGTATTTCTATATGTTTAGCTCGCTTAGAAAGTTCGATTGCATAAAATATATAGATAACACGTTTTCTTATCAACATACCATTCGTCAATTTATTATTTGTCACTGCGGTTTTCATCTGTGTATGTATGTTTGTATGTGTATGTGTGTGTACTTCTTAGTTTTTCGATAAATAAAATACATTCGAGTTGCCCCGTTGCCGCACTGGCCAACATAACCCGGACCTAGCATTTACTGATTCGCCGTACACCGCGAGTTTGGCGTAATCGGTCGGCTTCACGTGCCTTGTTTCCTCTTAGCCAACGAATTGGGTTCCGATATCATTTTTCCATAGTTCTCTCATATTAGTCCTTTTACTCGTGTCGTTTACTACGACTTTATTTGTAGTTTGTTATTTATCTAATATATGTATATATATATATATATATATATATATATAAACTAGCATAATATACAGTTTTTATATCTCTGCGTTCAATTTTGCTTCGGCATCAGCTGCTAGCCAAGATGGCGGCAGCGTTTTTGTCGGACGTTTTCTCTCTGCCATTTTCTATATGTTCTATACAAACATTTTGCTTTGTACTCTGCAAGGGGCACCGATAAAATCATTCGTATACATTTTTGTTATTAGCAGGTATTTCGGACATGAGTTCGTCGATATAATCGGAGAACAAGGCAAAAAACAAGAACATCCTCATTTTACAATACTCATTAATAGTACTGCCAGTTGACTGCCGCAATCGTTCGAAAAGAATTAATTTCAATTCAAAGTGATCGTGACTTTCCGCTATTGGTCCATTAGAAATAGTCACATTTTTAATTAATAATAGTGCAGTAATTCACGCAATTCCATTCACGCGATCTGTCATGCCTTTGCCCTCCTTCGCTCCCACTTTTTTTTATTTCAGACCCCATATCGATATTAAGTATCGATCATATATCAGTATCGGTATTACATTTTCCGATTTTAATTGTATACACAATTAGCGCTATCGCAATTGTTTCCTATGCAAATTGCTACTATATTCCTACCTTTGAGTATGTCAGTCTGTTTGGATCCGGGAAAAGAAGAACGTTTCTTTTACTATTTCTGGATTGATCGTATTTATATTAATTTTTGTAAATCTTTCTTCTTTCTTCCTCTGCCTCTGGCTTTTATATATATATATATGTATATATATATATATATATATATATGTTCCTGTACAAAGAAGAGGCCAACCCACTTGCAACAGGGGACTAGGACGCTCACAAAACATTATTATCATCAATATTATATTTTATTATATATAGAATTTGCAAAAAAAATCGTACGGGTTGGCGCTCAACTCGAGCCGCTGCAATGGGAGCCTAGGCACTACAAAAAACACATCAGATCAAACTATCACCCTCTATTCCTAGGTAGAAAACTATCAAAAGCAAAGGACCTGGTTAAAACTTGTGCATTTTTGGTATGCTCATTCGTAGTATACGATACGTGAAGCCGACTGCACGCACGTAAGCAAGAACTCAAATTTAACGAATTTCTGACTTTTAGCAAGTGCTGCCTAGGCTCTCGAACGACTCGTTAAAACATGAATATAACAACTATTTGATGAGAGACCGCGGTTGCACGGTGGCTTCATTGGACTTCTACTATAACCGTTTGCTACCCTCGTTCAATTATTCAATCATATGTACATTTATTATACAGACAGAAGATGAGAACTATCGCCGCGATGTTATTATATAAATTGACCTGACCTCGTTCTTGACGCCGGAGATCTGCCGAGCAGTGAGCTCCGAATTGAGAGCGCACTGGCCCACCTACATACGTCCGAATATGCCTGACGTAGTAGAGGTAAATCGGGGACAGATATACACCTACAGCTGTCTTCGTATTTGGTTGTATTCGTACCCCCTACGATTTTCACTGCTTCGCCTCGAATATCACGCATACTGAGAACTTACCAAAGTTAACCACAATCTCTACTACTAAGACCGGTAACTTTGAAAATAATAGAGGATTATTTATTTTTCGCGCCTATAGAAAATGTCAGATCATCACACCTGACATCTACGTTTGATACTCCAGTGCAACGACGGTAACATGTATAGCCGTTTGCCTTACGAGTGAAATCAGCTTGATCATGATCTGCCTCGCTTGATGCTTTGACCTCAGATTATTTTCGAGTGCCAAGACGATGATGCTCAATCTTTGGCCGCACAGGAAGTTTCCCTTTGTTACCCCGACATCCGTTATTGAATAGCGAAGGAGCGACCGATCTCCCAGTTGTTAAGGCCAAATATTAGGAAATGATGTCGTATACAGTCATTGACGTCGCATTGATGATGACTAATGTCTCTTCATGTGTAGTGATAGGTGATCGGATCTTGAGAAGGACCTTTGGCAAAGGTGGCACTTGAACGGTTTTTGACCGGTATGTTTTCGGTAGTGCCGAGTCAGCTCATCGGAACGCGCAAATTTCCACGTGCATGATTCCCACGTACACGTGTAAGGCTTTTCTCCTGCAACGACAAAAAGAACACTCAATGAGAACAGTTTACTGCGAAATTTCACATTAGGCTTATTTCCAACGCAGCCAATCTGGATTTAGCTGGCCCTGCGTTTCTGAGATTTGCAAAACGCTTATGAGCTAACAGCTTCGTTTGGGGGACGCACAACTTCGACCGAACGCCTCTGACCACAAGAATCAGCTGACCGTATTCGTATTCTAAAACTGTTTTAGGTTCTCAGCTGACAATAAGCCCACCCGTTGAGGCTTACCTGTATGAGTCCGTTTGTGCGCTTTGAGATGACTGCTTTTGGTATAGACCTTTTCGCAGCCCTCGAAGTCGCATTTGTGAATTTTTCGGCGTTTCAAGGACTCGACTCGATAATCGAGTGGGGTCGTCGAGGTTGGTGATGAGGTTGGCGAGGATGGAAGCGCTAGGGAGGACGAAGAGGGAGATGCGGGCGTGGCCGATGCGGTCGATCCGCCCAGAGATGGAGGAGGTGCTGATACTAGAGGAGTCACTGCGGCCAAAGCGCTTCCAGGCAGAAGCCCCAATGGGGTGATGCCTATGGACAGTACAATTGCGACGAAATGCAGGGTTAATAATGAGTGGTTCTAGGACAAGAGCGTTTTATCTTTGGCTGCAATCAACTACATATGAGAAAAAAGCTATTTTTCTCTCCTCTAGCATATGTTTACTGGCAAACATTTTACCGGGCGAGACGGAGCCGTGGCTTGACACGGAACTTGATCGACTGAGGCTGAGATCGAGTGCCGATCCATCGAGCGGTGCTGGAGACCCAGCTGATGGCTGGACGGGGGGTACTGCAGGAAGACCGGAAAGTCCAGGAAGTCCCGCCAATCCCGCGCTGAGTCCTGCGGCAGCTCCGACTCCAAGGCCGGCTTGACCAAGGCCGAGACCGCCCGCGCCGGGAGCCAGGCGTAACGGACTGAGTGCTCCGAGCGGATGTTGAGCGGCGACAGCGGCTGCAGCGGCGGCAAAGATCGACTGGCTGAGGAACAGGTTTGATAAAGCTCCGTTCTTCGGCGTTGTTTGCTGCTGCTGCTGCTGCTGCTGTTGTTGGTGTTGCTGCTGCTGCTGCTGCTGCTGCTGTTGCTGCTGCTGCTGCTGCTGCTGCTGCTGCTGTTGTTGTTGCAGTATTGAGAGGGCACTGAAAACGGGCATGGACAGTTGAACGACAAACGATTAGATCACAGATCACACAGTACACAGGCTAGTTGTTGCTTTCTGCTAAGCTTCTGGTAGCCTTTGCTCTATGCAGATACACAGAAGCCAAACAAAAACGATATGGCCAAACAAATATAATGCTTATGCGGCCAGCCTTTCCAGCAGGACCGAGGTGTGTCTGTATCAAATGTAGACCACCTCAATGTTCCCAGGTTTAGTCCCTCGAGCCGCATCCGAACTAATCACTAATATTTCTACTGTACAGAAGTAGGGAGCCGTAATGGATTACTTCTATCATAGCGAAACCAATGGAGGCATGTTGTATTTTAACGAAGTCTGTCATCCAGCATTGAAAATGATCACGTTAATAAACATGTCAACCACAGTATAACGTCCAGTGAGCCACTCTGGAGGGCGCGGATAACGATTCGAGGCAAATACGGCCAGCAGCATTATTACAATATCTAGAGTAGTCTAGGATATTGGTAGCTTCTAGAACTGATTTAGTCAGTCCTTCTTTAATTTGGAGGTGGCGGTCAGGACGACGCGAAAGGATAATGAATAACATATGAATGGAACGTATTTTTGTTGGACTACAGACGACTATGGTTCATGTTTTGAGAGCGCTTAACAATAGGCAGCTAGCCTACGAATTTGCAAAAATCAGACGAATTTGTTTTCACTTAAGTTTTATTGACTCCTTGCTTTTAACCATTTCCTACGATCGGCTCTGTATAATAATTACGAAGCTTTTTATTAACTAGTAGTTAACTAGCTTCATTGTCGAAAATTCGTGGTCGAGCGCCCCCTCAAGCCAGTGTTGCATTCGGTAACTTAGCTCAGTGCCGTATCAGACAATGCTTACACATTGCAATCGCAGCATCTAACATTTACATAATCCAGAGAATTATTTACTTCGGAAACAAGTTCCAATACCAAGTGATAATTTGACATCAGAACAACATTAATAGCAATAGCTGGACATATCCAGTTAAGTGCCAGCTTCAAAGTTACCTTTGCAATACAAAGTGAGCTGTCACCACCCAGTGCGACAAAACGCAGCGAGCGCTTTTCTCTTCGTTTATTTTATCCTTTGTTTAGCTTAATTTACAAAAGAGGGTCGTGACTTTTGTCATCACTGTTGTTATTACGGTTGCTTTTGCTGTGGTGTCGTTATCAAATCATCGCGTGTGCCAGATGCGTGGCCCAGTCGCCTGCGCCTGGCCCCCAGACCGTCACGGTTCTTGTCGCTGTTGTCGCGGGACGGGAAAGACTTTCAATTCATTTTGTAGCGCCTAGAAAAAAAGTAAAGAATATACAACGAGTACACATCCCTTCTTTGGTTCTCTCGACGGCAACAACGATGACAAAAACGAAAACAGAAATAGAATACCCACAAGAAAAATTGCGACCGACCCTTATAACCTCACGACATAGCACAGAGGCCGTGGCGAATGCTGCTGCGATACGATACGGCAGTAATGTCGCGGCGGGGAGAAAAAGCAAAAATCGTGCTTTACCCGTTGAGCGGCAGCCGATAGCACGACGGGCGACGCTCACGTCTTTTACTTGAATTGCTCAATAGAACGCATGGGACCCGCAAATTCGGAGAAACGCGGTCTACATTCAGTTGTGGCGGGCTATTTGAAAAGTAGAATCAGGCAAGCCACAATAATATCGCCGATGATAATGACAGTAATAATAATGTTAATAGTCATGATCCGATTCAACGGGATAGTTGCCATGTGCGTTATATATACATATATATATATATATATATAGGGTACTAATCGGTTTAATTCCACGATAGTGCGAGCATATCAAATATTTGTGTTATCTACTCCATTTACCAATATAGATAGATAAGATATATATTTGGTCATCTACTACAAAACTCATTATATTTGTTTATTACTTAGACAGCTCACCGAAGTAAAAGACAAACAAACCACTTAACGCTACCTCCACGTTTTACAGGTTCTCAGTAATCTGACAAATTTATAGTAGATCTATTTGCGTTAGTATAGACTGATTTTGCATAGGTATAAAAAAAATAATGGCAGACTATGATGGCAAAAAATAAAAATCTATAGAATAGAGAACCGGTGGCTGACTTCGAAAGAAAATCTGCCTTTGATTCCGTGGATTGGGTTTTTTGAGCTGATCTTCAGTTACAAATGAGACAACATTGCATTTACCAGGACAATAAGTAGGCTGTCAAAATTCATGGTGTATTTGGTTGCGCCAATGAATGGAGCCACTAACTGGGTTGATGAACACCATCCATAAAGTGACAAATACTTCTTTCCTGACCGGAGCAAGTCGGTAATTTAGGACTTATATATATATATATATATGATAAGTGCTAGATAGTAGGGATCACTCAGGGGCACCGGAGTTCGCCAAAAGACGTTTAACATTAGCCAAGCGCCATCGATAACTTAGCGTGGAATGTTCCCATTAAATCTAGCAGGTAATAGCCGTCTCACGCACGAGAATCGAATAGGTCACGCTTGTAGCACCCACAGGGCGTGAACAAAAAAAAATTAGCCATCACTTCCCATCGTGATTATAGCCGAAAGGAGTCTGAGTGTTTCTTTGTAGCGAGATCCATAACCTATTCTTAAGCTGTTATACTGCAACGGTATAATCCGGGTGTTTTTATAAGCAGTTACTTGCGAACACATGAGTTGGTGGACCCTGGCATACTTGTATCATACACATGATATATTTGATTTCACAGAAAAAAAAACACCGAAAAAGTCCATATCAAATGACAAATACGACGATGATAAAAAGCCCAAGTAATATTTCCCCTTTTTTTTATTGTACTGCTATAAGGTTCTGCTGTCCATATGAGCCTATTGAGACCTTTTTCGGGTCTCGATTGGGTTTTGCGCCTTCGCCTGGAAAGGGACATGATGAAATCCATTTTAAAAGCACGGTTCTTATTTCCTCTCGCTTTTTTTCAAATTACATCTGCAGGAATAATGTTTCATATATAAATGATTTACTGTTTGGGTAAGAGAACAAGGGTAAAGTGCGCACGGGTGGACAGTATCAACGTCCCGTTTATCCGTAAATCAATGAATGTTGGTTATATGTGGATTACCTATTATGGCATGTAACACAAAAAAATAAACTGTTGAAAAACCACCTACACCTGTGTTTGACAAACTATGCGTTATTCAGTGTCACTGAAAAATACTGACCGTTTTTAAGCCGAAACTGTAGTAAATGTATTTTTGAATTTCAATATAATATCACTGACCGAAATGTCGGCCATTTTGATCGATGACCTCTCATTTTTCTGGTAACGCCACGGCTGTAAAACGAAAAAGTATGGTAAGCAATCTGTGCGTGCCTCCGATGAAACTAAATTAGCACCATTAAGACGGGTCCTGAGGAGATCGAACCAGATGATAGTCTGCTGGCGCAAGATTCGCCCTATAGAGCAGATGCGTAGAGATTACTCATCGATGTTCTCTCAGTTCTTGTCGGGTAGCTAAACGTGTACGTGGCCTGGCATTGTCATGGTAAAAAGAATGACGCGCATTTTTATCTTGCACACTATTTTTACATGTGATCTACTTTTTATCGGTAGTAATCACTTGCTTTAAAAGTAGCTCGACATTGTTGCGCTTTTGTGGACTTTCTTCCGCAGATCAAAATACGTTCGAGTAAACTGTCTAGCGTCGATTCGTAGTAATCTTTGAACTAGCTGAAAACTATTTAGTAGGAAATGTTTATTTTGTCAACGATGTCGCGGCTAGCCACGTGTTCATCTTGCTCAACCTTCGCAATAAGCTCACCGATGTTTTTTCGTAATTGGTCGACCGTTAAGGGGAGCGTCCTTCACATCGAAATTTTTAAAACGGAAGCGGCAGAAGCATCTTTAGGGCGTTTCTCTCGATAACGCACCTTGATCATAAACAGTACAGTTCTTTTTATGGGCCTGGGCAGCATCGGTCGGACCTTTTTTGTAATAAAACTGTTAAAAAATATAGCGAGGTTTTTCAGAAAATTTACTCGTTGTCAAGGCGCTTTATCTTAAGCCTAAACAGAGGCCCTGCAACAATCTCAGCATATCTGACAGATCCAAAGCGACACGAACAACCGGCTCGACGCGATTAATACTACACGAGATATATTATTCTAAAGCCAGTTAGTTAGCTAGAAGATCGGTCAATACCTTTTCGACAAGCCAATATCAGGCTCAATCAGGCCAATATCAATATCAATCAGGCTGCTGCTGGTTAACCCCGCACAATTTGACCAGCCATAAACAAACTTTCCCTGTTTATAGTGTAAAAGGCAACGCCTATCTAGCCAATAGATAGTTGTAAAATATGTTCAGTATAACTTGAGGGAACTTCTGGCGGGCTGTAGCAGGCGTATACTCACGTACATTCTGCCGATAGTACGTCAGAATAGAATAATAAATTCGGAGTTTTCGAAACTCTATGAAACGCTTAAAAGACTAGCTCTAATCCGATGAATTTACGCCAAATGAAACTGCGTTAAAATTTAACGGTCTATGTTAATACGGCTCCCGAAAAATCAGAGGGAAATTTCTATGTAGTGAAATAAGAATAATTTCCGTTGGCAGAGCTTGAAAATTCATCAAAATAATGTAGAAATAAGTTCTAATGATCTCGATAAATTTTCGTTCTTAGATAGTGGCCATTTTCTGATAAAAGAGTATCAACCGGTTAGTCTAGGTCAGTTCCAATGGTTACTCTGCCTTATACTTTCTATATTCTTAAATATTTGGGCCCAAACCTTGAATCCGCTAGAGTTTTTCTTGTGTGACACGTGTTTAAGTGAAATTTCCTTCACTTACTCTAAAAGTACTAATATAACCTTATTCATGGTTATTATAGAAAAAAGTTAGTCGCAAATTTAGCACGGAAAGAACTTCTAGGAAATAACCTGTGAGTCGTTCAAGCCCTGAACTGAAGGCGCGAACAACAGTATATATTAGATAAACAAGTCCATATAGGATTTCTCTATCGGCACAAGTTACCAAGTTTCATTCAAATATCTGCTCTTATTTACAGCATAATCCTAATGACGTCGACCTTATTCCATCTATATCTTGAACATGGTGCATACCTATGTTTTTCGAGAGACAAAATTACCCATGACTGCCATAACAATACGTCAACTTACTGCATGATGTACGCCAG